GTAAGGTCGGTGTTTTCTATGAAGATTTTTAAGGGTATCTATTATGTTTAGTATATCACCTATGCACTTATTTAATAAGTCAATATTGACTATACGAATTTGCGAGAACGGGTTGCCCATAGCCTGGCCCTGTCCATGGAGGACAGAAGAAAATGTATATATGCTGGTTAGCATTGTAAATGTGTGGCCACGTCTGTGGTAGAAAATAATAATAAAAATAATAGCGTGGCCAAGTTTATATATGCCAGGCTGACTTGTTAAACCAACGCCAGTTTACTGGCACATATAAACAGGTCACCGTAAAACAACGAGAACTAACAAACATTCTCTATATACAATTGATATACAACTAATATACATCAGATACTCTTAATCACAGTATGCCCGAAACGCTTTGCGTAATAGTGGCTTTAGGCATTGTATGTACTAGCTATACCTATAAGTTAAACAATCCTTGTAAATATTTATTGTATGTATGTACCTTACCTAAATAAAATTGTATTGTATTGTATTGTATTGTAATAAGGAGCTTGAACACAGCTCAAATAATCACATTAAGGAACTTACACAGCTTTCGAAATCAGTAACAGACATTAACAGCACACACTTGGAACTAGCTGACACCAGGCTCCAACCCGGGGCAGTGGTACACTAACCCAAGCAACAGCTTGGAGGTGTCGTACACAAACAAGTAGTGGGTGAGGAATCCATAACGTACTACAACATGAAAACAATAACCTTCGGTCCTCAGGTGCCCATCTCAACACTAGAGCACCAACCACCTGACATAACCAAGGCCAAGGCCAAGACCGTCAGTAGTTTCAAAGCGTTATATGACAAAGAGTGCTGGGAGGACGGGACACCACGAGCGTAGCTCTCATCCTGTAATTACACTTAGGTAATTATAAGTGATATACCTCGGTAGCCTGATACACTAAACAACAGCATTACTCTTATATATACATTAGTAAACAATAAAAAATAAAATATAACACAGCTCAAGAGTTGGACGTCTCACGGCCGCCTATCTGGGAGTGGGAGCCGGTCGGCCGAGCGGACAGCACACTGGACTTGTGATCCTGTGGTCCTGGGTTCGATCCCAGGCGCTGGCGAGAAACAATGGGCAGTTTCTTTCACCCTATGCTCCTGTTACTTAGCAGTAAAATAAGTACCTGGGTGTTAGTCAGCTGTCACGGGTTGCTTCCTGGGGGTGGAGGCCTGGTCGAGGACCGGGCCGCGGGGACACAGCCCCGAAATCATCTCAAGATAACCTTTTTGGAAAATCAAGAGGGTAGTGACTGGCTAAGGGCCGAGCCGGCCGAGAACGACTTTGTAAACAACATGGCCAAATCGCCCCAACTTTCCTCCATCACATCAGAAGCTCAAAAACCATATATTACTTCTAATTCATACAATACCTAGCTTAAATACACTATACAATATTCTCCACAGGAGAGTACAAATCAAAACTCAAGGTATACAGGAATATATCACGATATATGCTAATACACATAAGGAAATAATTTCTATTACACGTAGTATTATTGGCTTGAGACGCTTCACCAATGGGGGTCAGGTGGGAGATGGGGACATGGGAGGATTGCCAGCAGTTACCGGTCGCTCGTTATACCTACGTTGTTTAAGACGTAGAACACAGTATACCCCTAGTCACACTTCAAGTATATATATATATAAATCTGCATGATAATATATACACGATAATAATAAATAATATTCCAAGCCGTTGACATGTAATGGTGGTTGTATGAAACACGAACTTAAGCTTCTGTTGTGAACTTGAGTATTTCCAAAATGAGATTACAGAGACAAGAGTAATGGTAATATTAGGCGAATCAACTAATATTTTTCTATACAGTTTGACCACATCATACAGGGTGAGGACTCAGAGTGAGGTCCCAGACTGAGGTCCCAGACTGTGATCCCCACACACTATCCCAGACACCAGGGATCAGTGGCCTACCTATCCCCCACACACTATCCCAGACACCAGGGATCAGTGGCCTCACTATCCCCCACACACTATCCCAGACACCAGGGATCAGTGGCCTACCTATCCCCCACACACTATCCCAGACACCAGGGATCAGTGGCCTCACTATCCCCCACACACTATCCCAGACACCAGGGATCAGTGGCCTACCTATCCCCCACACACTATCCCAGACACCAGGGATCAGTGGCCTCACTATCCCCCACACACTATCCCAGACACCAGGGATCAGTGGCCTACCTATCCCTCACACACTATCCCAGACACCAGGGATCAGTGGCCTCACTATCCCCCACACACTATCCCAGACACCAGGGATCAGTGGCCTCACTATCCCCCACACACTATCCCAGACACCAGGGACCAGTGGCCTACCTATCCCCCACTCCCCACACACACTATCCTCTCTACCCTCAACGTTCGGTCAGCCTGTCCCATAAATCTTGCCGTGATATATATTGCCAAGCAAAATTATACAATTGGATGGTGTATGATGGTGTATAATGTGTTGCTGATCACGCAACATACAGAGGGCATGCCCTCGTGCAGTATATCACTGCTCTGCTGAAGCTAAAAGTCTATGCAAATTTCCATACAGAAATTCATAGGGAACGCGATTCGTGTTCATTTTGTCCTCCTAAATATTCATCTTTCTCCTGTTCTCCACTTTATTTATTTTCCTGTTCTGTCTCTTCCAGGAAACTTGTCTCTGTTTATTGTGTTCTTCCTCACTTCCTCTCCTTCTTGTGTGCTTCCGTGAGGAGAACGTTTAAGCTTTATATTGGAGTGATGCTGAATGACCCGTTTCGCTGAAGCCTCGCAACATCTTCAGCGGCAGATGGGTTGTGGCTACAGATGAGCTGAAGCTTCGGTGTATATAACTGTGTAGGAGGACTACACTGCACCGTCAAGTGCTAGGATACGCTAGAAGGGCATCGTGGCAGCTTCAAGACTCCCACACAGTGGGCCTTGTAGCCTGGTGGATAGCGCGCAGGACTCGTAATTCTGTGGCGCGGGTTCGATTCCCGCACGAGGCAGAAACAAATGGGCAAAGTTTCTTTCACCCTGAATGCCCCTGTTACCTAGCAGTAAATAGGTACCTGGGAGTTAGTCAGCTGTCACGGGCTGCTTCCTGGGGGTGGAGGCCTGGTCGAGGACCGGGCCGCGGGGACACTAAAGCCCCGAAATCATCTCAAGATAACCTCAAGATAACAGTATCCGGCTCAAGCCTCCATCACTTGCTATCCTTCTCAACATACACATCAACATACACATCAACATACACAGCCTTCAACATACACAGCCTTCAACATACACATCAACATACACAGCTTTCAACATACACAGCCTTCAACATACACATCAACATACTCATCAACATACACATCAACATACACATCAACATACAAGTCCGGCATGTACTCCACCCATCATGTAATGATTACCAAAGGGCATAATTTCCCCATTAATTATGGTGTATGTCATTAAGGTTGGTTAACAAGCGGGGCGGTGCGAGAGTCCCGCCCCTACTGGCACTACACCCTCCTTATTACACCCTTCTTACACCCCACTATAATTTATACACTGTCACACCCACTTTTATGCATCCAGGTATAGATACACCCACCAATACACACCCACCTATACACACCCATTTAGGCTCACCCACGTAAATACACTCCTAATTATATGCAGGCGATGAGTCACAATAACGTGGCTGAAGAGTGTTGACCAGACCACACACTAGAAGGTTAAGGGACGACAACGTTTCGGTCCGTCCTGGACCATTCTCAACACAATCGACTTGAGAATGGTCCAGGACGGACCGAAACGTCGTCGTCCCTTCACATTCTAGTGTGTGGTCTGGTTGTAACACCCGTGACCCCCCATCCTTAGAGTTCACACCCAGGGAAGCCTTCTCCAAGAGGTCAGCCCAGATGACCTCCGTTTTATCTTGTATATTAAAAAAATTCCTGGGTTAGTCTTAGTCAACATAGTTTCAAGTATGTAATATTTCATGCAAGGAAATTAGACTCCAGATTCTTATGTGTAAACATCCCTGGATCTCCCCCTTTTGGCCAGGTCAGAGGTCAGTCACACACGTAATTAATAACTCCTCTCTTGAAGAGTGTATGGTGAATGTCAAACAAGCTTTTTGAAATATTTCTTGAGTGTTTGTACACTCTTGGTGGGTAGCAACAGCAGATCTCCCCCTCCCCCCTGTGGGGGTTGTATATAGAGGTCATTTAGGGACTTAGGGAACGCAGAGTGCGGGACACCGGGATCGAGAGCGGGTCTGTGAAGAACATCTCAGCCCGGGAGAGACAGAGGTCTTAAGGTAATGTGTGTGATCTCTGAGGTTTTGTTCCATGTCCAAATTTCTTAACTTTTTGCCAGTGTTAGAGTAGCATTTATAAGTGGTGATTGACATAATTTTGGTCTCAATAAACTCGTTAAATTTCCCGTCTTTGTCAATTGTTGAATCCTCTTAGCCTTTTGGATATAGTGGCTGACAACCGTTTACATAATTAATGACAGTCATAGAAAGTACTCTCCAAGTCAAGCAATGTTTCTTGCCTCGTTGCTTGATATAGTTTCAATGGTCAAAGGCAGATGGTGGCAGCGTATTTCATCCTGTGTTAGCATCTCCTTGTTGGCAGTGTACTTTGTAGTCCCGGTGTAATCATCATATGTCAGCCCATAAGTGTTACCAAGTGCAACCAATGGGGAAGTGTTACTCAGGATAGTTTAGTGTTCCATTATAGTGGTGTTCCATTATAGTGGTACATTTTAGGGTGGTGTTACAATAGAGCGGTGTTACATGGTCAACACTCCTAATTGTATATACCTAAATATATGTACCTAATTGTATATTAAATTTTGCTATGAGCGAGCCAAGTTTTCTTGCATTTTTAATTTGTTTCGCGTTATTTTTTCTGTTTTTAATTTTTGTACGCTTTTCTCAGTTTTTCTCTGTATTTGTTTACAGTGAAGACCTCACCGGTCACCGTGAAGACCACACCGGCCACCGTGAAGACCACACCGGTCACCGTGAAGACCTCACCGGTCACCGTGAAGACCACACCGGTCACCGTGAAGACCACACCGGTCACCGTGAAGACCTCACCGGTCACCGTGAAGACCACACCGGCCACCGTGAAGACCACACCGGCCACCGTGAAGACCACACCGGCCACCGTGAAGACCACACCGGCCACCGTGAAGACCACACCGGCCACCGTGAAGACCACACCGGCCACCGTGAAGACCTCACCGGCCACCGTGAAGACCACACCGGCCACCGTGAAGACCTCACCGGCCACCGTGAAGACCACACCGGCCACCGTGAAGACCACACCGGCCACCGTGAAGACCACACCGGCCACCGTGAAGACCACACCGGCCACCGTGAAGACCACACCGGCCACCGTGAAGACCACACCGGCCACCGTGAAGACCACACCGGCCACCGTGAAGACCTCACCGGCCACCGTGAAGACCACACCGGCCACCGTGAAGACCACACCGGCCACCGTGAAGACCACACCGGCCACCGTGAAGACCACACCGGCCACCGTGAAGACCACACCGGCCACCGTGAAGATCACACCGGCCACCGTGAAGACCACACCGGCCACCGTGAAGACCACACCGGCCACCGTGAAGACCACACCGGCCACCGTGAAGACCACACCGGCCACCGTGAAGACCACACCGGCCACCGTGAAGACCACACCGGCCACCGTGAAGACCACACCGGCCACCGTGAAGACCACACCGGCCACCGTGAAGACCACACCGGCCACCGTGAAGACCACACCGGCCACCGTGAAGACCACACCGGCCACCGTGAAGACCACACCGGCCACCGTGAAGACCACACCGGCCACCGTGAAGACCACACCGGCCACCGTGAAGACCACACCGGCCACCGTGAAGACCTCACCTGACAGCCGGTGCTATCTTAATACGCCAGCAAACTTAATTACAGAGACTCGTAAAGATTAAAGCCCGGGTCACTTGTGGGAGTGTGGAGCCCCGAGACGCGTATCACTCACTCCGGGGAGAAGCCTGACGACCCCGGCCAACACGGGCGGGACAATCAACACGGCTTTACACTTAACGCACCAACCTCAGGATCTTGGATCCTGTGAGAGTTGGGATCTGTCTATAGGACTCACAGCTGCGCTCTCTCTCTCTCTCTCTCTCTCTCTCTCTCTCTCTCTCTCTCTCTCTCTCTCTCTCTCTCTCTCTCTCTCTCTCTCTCTCTCTCTCTCTCTCTCAGATAACATTAGAGGGAGTACTGGTGGCTAGGGCCGGGATTCATTAAGTATTTACGTATTTACAGTACCTAATAGTGTTTACCTAACAGTGTCTATGGGGGAGTGAGATCTAGCTCTTTATACCCCAACTTCTAACTTTATTTTACCTGTTGCATTACAATTGAACTATTCTGATGTTCAAATTCTTTGTAGAATCTCATAAACCCTGCTGCTGTGTCAGGTAAGGGCAGTACGGGCTCACCATAGCCCGTGCTACTTGCTGCTCCTGTGCTAGGTAATTCCACTACGGGATCACCATAGCTCGTGCTACTTGCCGCTCCTGTGCGAGGTAAGTCCACTAAGGGATCACCATAGGCTGTGCTACTTGCCACTCCTGTGCCAGGTAAGTCCACTACGGGATCACCATAGCCCGTGCTACTTGCCGCTCCTGTGCCAAGTAAGTCCACTAAGGGATCACCATATCCCGTGCTACATGCCGCTTCTGTGTTGGGTAAGTTCATTACGGGATCACCATATCCCGTGCTACATGCCGCTCCTGTGCCATGTAAGTTCACTACGGGATCACCATATCCCGTGCTACATGCCGCTCCTGTGTTAGGTAAGTTCACTACGGGCTCACCATAGCCCGTGCTACTTGGAACTTTTTGTTCCGAGTAGCTGAATCTAAAACAACAACAACAACTGTAGAACTTGCCTCGATCATGGCGCCTTATTGTCTGTATTATTTTGATAAAATGCTATGCCCAAGATTACCATCCGAGTGCCGGCGGGGAAGTGGTTCAAATAGCTTCGGCTATCACTTCCTTATGTCCGGTCGTGATGGTCAAACGGATTAAGGCGTCCTGTATATACCAGTTGCGTTTCTCCTGGCAGTATGGGTTCGAGTCACTTCTGGGGTGTGATTTTTCAGTTATATATATATATATATATATATATATATATATATATATATATATATATATATATATATATATATATATATATATATATTCCATCCTATGAAGATCATGAGCCTCATTAATTGGGTTTAAACGTATTTAACAACCTTGTTGCTTAACAACCTATGATGCCTGACCTGTACCAGATCCCAACAAAAACACACACCGTAAACACGACGTAATTTCTCCGTCGAAGTAATGTTGCTACAACGTTATGGTCACGTTGTGTGTTTTTTTGGGGGTAATACTGCAAAGTTGTCACGTTGTGTGTTTTTTTTGGGGTAATTCTGCAAAGTCTTGGGGTGCCGCTTCCCCCACACACGGCTAGATCTGTCTGGGGTATAACCTGTGTGACACTTATCAACGACATTAGCAGTAAACTGATTTATACTCATCAGTGTAGTTTACTTACTGCGCATCCCTCACCCATCCTGTGGGTGGTAGTGGACCCCATACCCATCCTGTGGGCGGTAGTGGACCCCATACCCATCCTGTGGGCGGTAGTGGACCCCATACCCATCCTGTGGGCGGTAGTGGACCCCATACCCATCCTGTGGGCGGTAGTGGACCCCATACCCATCCTGTGGGTGGTAGTGGACCCCATACCCATCCTGTGGGCGGTAGTGGACCCCATACCCATCCTGTGGGTGGTAGTGGACCCCATACCCATCCTGTGGGTGGTAGTGGACCCCATACCCATCCTGTGGGTGGTAGTGGACCCCATACCCATCCTGTGGGTGGTAGTGGACCCCATACCCATCCTGTGGGTGGTAGTGGACCCCATACCCATCCTGTGGGCGGTAGTGGACCCCCATGCCCATCCTGTGGATGGTAGTGGACCCCCATACCCATCCTGTGGGCGGTAGTGGACCCCATACCCATCCTGTGGGTGGTAGTGGACCCCCATGCCCATCCTGTGGGTGGTAGTGGACCCCCATGCCAAAGGGGGAGGGTGGCAGCCACCACGGGGACCATACAGAGTGTGGCGGTAGCAAGGTGTTCATATATACACAAGATCACCACTCTGTTATCACCACAATATCCGGTCGAACCTAAGTCCAACGGCTTATGATAATCCTTGCTCGAGCTTCCACTGGCCATATGATGGGAGGGAATCCGTGCTTGGTCGAGCTTATGGGAGGGAATGTAGGCTTGGTCGAGCTTATGGGAGGGAATGTAGGCTTGGTCGAGCATAATAGGACATTAAATAGGAAGCGGTAGCGACAACATAATAGGGATGCAGGGAATAGCAAAAGAGGAATTGAGGTTTGTGTAATGTTCGTTTAGCATATTGAAATAGCTTTGATTGATGCTAAAATATTGGAAGTTTACGGTAAAGCTGCGTATGGAACATGGAGTCAGAATTCTTGCCTCTTAAGACAATTCTTGAATTTCTAAGACGATCAGAGACCAAATCTGAATGGAATCCTTGTTTATGATGGTGAAATATTGAGAGTGTAGATGGGATCGAACCCCCTTTTTCTCGACTCCTCAGGTACGCACACTACTAATTGAACCATGACAACTCCTCATGGTTCAATCGGTAATGCGAGTGCTCGGGGCGTCCAGGGACACGAGTTCGAAACCCATCGCAAGGACTCAGTATTTTCTCAAAGATACACATCAAGTGTCCACCGCGTGTATCCAACCAGCACTCTCTCTCGTTCATATTTCCTTTCCTTCCTGCTTACCCCACTCCCTCACCATACTCTCCCTCCCTGCTCCCTCACCATACTCTCCCTCCCCCTCCCTCTCTCCCCTCCCTTCCCTCAGCCACACCCTTAACCAAACCTTGCATCAAAGAAATTACTTAAGGAAATGGCACGCTGCTTTTTAAAGACTGAAAAACAATTAAACTTACAAACCAGAGAGAGAGAGAGAGAGAGAGAGAGAGAGAGAGAGAGAGAGAGAGAGAGAGAGAGAGAGAGAGAGAGAGAGAGAGAGAGAGAGAGAGAGAGAGAGAGAGAGAGAGAGAGAGAGAGAGAGAGAGAGAGAGAGAGAGCGAGAGAGAGAGAGCGAGAGAGGGGCAGACGGCTCAGGATCCTGTTATCCAGACAACACAGGAAACCTTTGAGCCAGTGTGGCCGACGACAACGAATCAGACAGGAACCAACAAACAAGTTATTACCTACGTTGACAAAGTCAGAGGGAGAGACAAAGCATAATAATTTATCCTATGTAAAGCAGTGATAGCCTGAAGCTTATCTCTCCCTCAAACAGGTAGAGAAACACTTCCTAGTGAGAGAGAGAGAGAGACCACAACCTTTTATAAAGGCTATTATCTCCATGACAAAAGCCAGATCACAGATAAAATCAAGAGATATACAAAAGTCCAGCTGTTGTTTACTTTGATACGCCGAACAAAACTGATTCAGGGACGACTCTTTTTTGGGACGATCTGTGAATGAAATGCTTTCATCTAGAGGATTATACGTTTTTCATTTGAAATTGGAATGAAGAAGGTAAAACTATCTCTAGATATTGCGAGAAAAATGAGGACATTATGTGTCCTCGTAGCCTTGGTAGCCCTCAGCCTTGGGCTTAGTGTTGGGTAGCCCCCAGCCAGGGTTGTTGGGTAGCCCCCAGCCAGGGACTAGGTGGGGATGGAGGTAGTTAGTGGGAAAATCGAAGGATAGTGCAGGCTGCCTCATACGCCTGTTATATAAACCCGTCTTCACGGGAAACAGGTTTGCACAGGCTGCCATCCAGGTGGTGCAGGCTGCCATCCAGGTGGTGCAGGCTACCATCCAGGCGGTGCAGGCTGCCATCCAGGTCATGTAGGCTGCCTTTCTGATCAAGTTAGTGCAAGCAGGTCTTCCATGGGGCTACCGGAAGGGTGTATGGAACTGCCTAAAGGATGCAGGTGACGTCCTGAAGATGGATGGGACTATCTGAAGGTTGATAAGACTTTCTGAAGGTAGATGGGACTTCCTGAAGGCGAATGGGACTTCCTGAACTAGGACTGCTTGTCTATCACATTCAAACAAAATAGGCATACGTATGTAGCGGTCTTAAGAAGAGTGTGGAGGTAGAGGCCGCCATGGTCGCGTCGGAAACATGTTTTGGACGAGGGAGTGGATGGGCCGGGATTGCTTCGGCCTAAAATGGTAAGATAACACAGGGAGATGAGTTACGGCCTGATGCTGCTTCATGTGCAGGATACGCTGGAGGATTCTTAGTGTGTTCTGGGTGTGTGTGTGGGGGGGGGGGAGGTGTATATGTGTGTGTGTATCTCTCCTGTAAAAAATCTGTATAATCCTCATACAGTACCTTCTGAATTACACTGAGTGTACATTGATAACTACACCAATTCATACATTTTCTTTACCTATTTCACTGAGTTCGCTGAGTTCACTGAGTTCACTAAGTTCACTGGCGAGTTCACTGAGACAACGACACGAATACAACAGAGTATAATGAATACAACAGATGATAATGATACTCATCTGACAGTTCTCACGGCAACAGGTTCAGTGGACTCCTGTAGCCTACCAGTCTTCCTAAACCACCTTCTACGATAAAAGGTTTTCAAACGCACTCAATATAGTCAGTTTTTTAATGATTGCTGCTTATAGTTCGAAGTTCATGTTATCATATTGCGGGGGCTTTTATGGCTGGTAATTAAGCTTTAAAGCTTCCTGTATGGCCGGAGTTATCTTAACGACTTTCGCTATTGGATCCAATTGGTCTCGAGATTACTGGTTTTGGGTGATTAGTTCAAGCACTCGGAACTAGGCTTTAGAGTGAAGCGCCGCCAAGGAGTGCATGAAGGAGAGAGTTGTTATATCCTCTCTTTGGTGTTGTTACTGGCTTGTGTTGTGGGCACTGTCGTCGCTGTGGTTGTGGTCACTGTCGTCGCTGTGGTTGTGGGCACTGTCGTCGCTGTGGTTGTGGGCACTGTCGTCGCTGTGGTTGTGGGCACTGTCGTCGCTGTGGTTGTGGGCACTGCCATTGCCGACATGACGCCGTAATGGAGGTCGACGCTTTGCACCGTTATCGTCACCGCCGCCGCCGCCGCCATGGTCGCGGGTAGAGGCCGCCGCCGCCACCATGGTCGCGGGTAGAGGCCGCCGCCGCCGCCGCCATGGTCGCGGGTAGAGGCCGCCGCCGCCGCCGCCATGGTCGCGGGTAGAGGCCGCCGCCGCCGCCGCCATGGTCGCGGGTAGAGGCCGCCGCCGCCATGGTCGCGGGTAGAGGCCGCCGCCGCCATGGTCGCGGGTAGAGGCCGCCGCTGCCGCCCCCATGGTCGCTGGTAGAGGCCGCCGCCGCCGCCACCTTGGTCGCGGGTAGAGGCCGCCGCCCCCTTGGTCGCGGGTAGAGGCCGCCGCCGCCCTGGTCGCGGGTAGAGGCCGCCGCCGCCGCCATGGTCGCGGGTAGAGGCCGCCGCCGCCATGGTCGCGGGTAGAGGCCGCCGCCGCCCGCATGGTCGCGGGTAGAGACCGCCGCCGCCACCATGGTCGCGGGTAGAGGCCGCCGCCGCCGCCCCCATGGTCGCTGGTAGAGGCCGCCGCCGCCGCCACGATGGTCGCGGGTAGAGGCCGCCGCCGCCGCCCCCATGGTCGCGGGTAGAGGCCGCCGCCGCCATGGTCGCGGGTAGAGGCCGCCGCCGCCGCCATGGTCGCGGGTAGAGGCCGCCGCCGCCATGGTCGCGGGTAGAGGCCGCCGCCGCCGCCATGGTCGCGGGTAGAGGCCGCCGCCGCCACCATGGTCGCAGGCAGAGGCCGCCGCCGCCGCCGCCATGGTCGCGGGTAGAGGCCGCCGCCGTCGCCATGGTCGCGGGTAGAGACCGCCGCCGCCACCATGGTCGCGGGTAGAGACCGCCGCCGCCACCATGGTCGCGGGTAGAGGCCGCCGCCGTCGCCATGGTCGCGGGTAGAGGCCGCCGCCGCCGCCACCATGGTCGCGGGTAGACACCGCCGCCGCCACCATGGTCGCGGGTAGAGGCCGCCGCCGCCACCATGGTCGCGGGCAGAGGCCGCCGCCGCCACCATGGTCGCGGGCAGAGGCCGCCGCCGCCGCCATGGTCGCGGGTAGAGGCCGCCGCCTCCGCCATGGTCGCGGGTAGAGGCCGCCGCCGCCGCCATGGTCGCGGGTAGAGGCCGCCGCCGCCGCCATGGTCGCGGGTAGAGGCCGCCGCCGCCGCCATGGTCGCGGGTAGAGGCCGCCGCCGCCACCATGGTCGCGGGTAGAGGCCGCCGCCGCCACCATGGTCGCGGGCAGAGGCCGCCGCCGCCACCATGGTCGCGGGTAGAGGCCGCCGCCGCCGCCATGGTCGCGGGTAGAGGCCGCCGCCGCCACCATGGTCGCGGGTAGAGGCCGCCGCCGTCGCCATGGTCGCGGGTAGAGACCGCCGCCGCCACCATGGTCGCGGGTAGAGTCCGCCGCCGCCACCATGGTCGCGGGTAGAGACCGCCGCCGCCACCATGGTCGCGAGTAGAGACCGCCGCCGCCGCCATGGTCGCGGGTAGAGGCCGCCGCCGCCGCCATGGTCGCGGGTAGAGGCCGCCGCCGCCACCATGGTCGCGGGTAGAGGCCGCCGCCGCCGCCATGGTCGCGGGTAGAGGCCACCGCCGCCACCATGGTCGCGGGCAGAGGCCGCCGCCGCCACCATGGTCGCGGGTAGAGGCCGCCGCCGCCGCCATGGTCGCGGTTAGAGGCCGCCGCCGCCGCCAAGGTCGCGGGTAGAGGCCGCCGCCGCCGCCATGGTCGCGGGTAGAGGCCGCCGCCGCCACCATGGTCACGGGCAGAGGCCACCGCCGCCGCCATGGTCGCGGGTTGAGGCCGCCGCCGCCGCCATGGTCGCGGGTAGAGGCCGCCGCCGCCACCATGGTCGCGGGTAGAGGCCGCCGCCGCCACCATGGTCGCTTGCAGAGGCCGCCGCCGCCACCATGGTCGCGGGTAGAGACCGCCGCCGCCCCCATGGTCGCGGGTAGAGACCGCCGCCGCCCCCATGGTCACGGGTAGAGACCGCCGCCGCCATGGTCGTGGGCAGAGGCCGCCACTATTATGCCTCTCGTTATCTGTCCATATCTCCTTCGTGCCAACAATTACCCCAGAGAACAATTAGTGAGAGGGGCGTGATGCTAGTCTAGTTGAGAGTGAGTAGAGGCATCTGTGTGGGTGGATTCACCTATTTGTGCCTGCAGGCTCGAGGAATTAGCTCTTGAACCCCCGCTTTTCCTTCCGTTGGTTGTCTAAGGCAATGACACCAGATGTTTTTCCTTGTTATATCTACTTTGTAAACTTTGGAATACTGTTTGCGTGTTGAACTTGTTTCTTTAGTTCATTCCATTTTCCCACTGCTCTTACGCTAAATGTAAACTTCCTAACATCTCTATAACGCACCTGAGTCTCAAGTTTCCATCTTTGGTTCATGAATGATGTTCTAACTTTTGCTAGCGTAGAGTATGCCGCTGATGTTATTCTATTTATATGTCACTCCACAGTTAGGTTTTGTGTTATGTCTACTTCCTGGTATTTTCCTCTAGTCGTTATCGGGAGGTACATCTCCTTCACCGTGTTCTGTCCTTTTGGTTTCCTAGTACCTATTCCCATTTCCATCACCTCACACTTGCTGGTGTTGAACTCCAATAACCATTTATCGGACCAACTCTGCAGTCTGCTTACGTCATCTTGGAGAATCTTGCAATCCTCATCTGTCACGGTTCTTCTTGTTAGTTTCACATCATCTGCAAACACTGACATGTTAGACTCAAATCCCTATTGATAGGTCGTTTACAGCATTGCGAAATATTATGGGTCCCAGCACCGATCCTTGAGGACCTCCACTCGTTACCCTACGCCATTCCAACTTCTATCCCTTCACTGTTACTACTACTACAGTCCACTACGGGCTCACCATAGCCCATGCTACTTGGGACTTTTTGTTCCAAGTAGCGAATCTTAAACAACAACAAACATTCACTGTTACTCTCTGACTTCTGTCTGTTTGGTAATTCTTTACCCATGTTGGTGCTTTTTGGCTACTCACGCCTGCCTCTCCAGTTTGTGTAGTAATCTCGTGAGAGGTACTGCATCAGAGGCATTTTGGTAGTGCAGTAAAATACAATCTACCCAACCTTCACTATCCTATCTTCTCCTTGTTACTTTATCGTTGAACTCCAGTAGGTTTGTTAGGCACGATTTTCCTTCCCTAAAGCCATCGTGATATGTTGTCCAATAGTTTCTAGTTTTGCCTAGTGATGCTAGCTAGATGTTATCGTACTTGCTTTGCTGTTACCTTAATATTTAAGTCTCTCATTTAGGGCAGTAACCTCTTCTAGCGCTGAGAGCTGTTCAGGATCAGTTGTGAACACTCCATAGAAGATGACATTAACTTCCTCACAAATTCCCTTTATTATTTTCTATATATTCATCTCCCCTATTTTGTAACCTAGTCACTTGGTCGTTCAGTGTTATTTTCCTTCTTATATGATTATATATGAGTTTTGGGTTAGAAGCAATATCATTTTCATATTTTCTTTCCAACATTCTTCATATATTTATATATTTATTTCTAACCTTGTTTCATCTATTCAGGTTTTCAATGTACTCACCTAATTGTGCTTCCGGGCATTGAGCTTTGGTTTTTTGGGCCTGCCTCTCACCAATCAATCAACTGGTGTACAGATTCTTGAGTCTGTGGGGCTCTATCTCATTAGAAACTGTGTATGGAGTCTGCCTCATCCACATCCCAGCCTAATGCATTCTATTTATTAACTATTCTAACTGAGAAAATTCTTTTTAATGTCTCTGTGGTTCATCTGTGTATTCAGTTTCCAACTGTGTCTCATTGTGCGTGTACCACCCGTGTTAAATAATTCCAAATTCCAAATTCAATTCAAATGTTTATTCAGGTAAAAGTATATACATAGAAGATGATTTACAAACATAATGTTGGATTGATAGAGCTAGTACATACAATACCTCAAGCCACTAATACGCACAGCGTTTCGGGCAATATCTGTCCTTATCTTCCCCCTATCACTTCCCTCGAGAATCTTGTTTGAGGCGAACTTGTCTCCCCTAACTCTACTGTCTTCCAGCGACGTGAGGTATAGTTCCCGTAGTCTTTCTTCGTAGCTCATGCCGCTCAGTTCGGGTACTAGTCTGGTGGCATACATTTGTGTGTGTGTGTGTGTGTGTGTGTGTGTGTGTGTGTGTGTGTGTGTGTGTGTGTACTCACCTATTTGTGCTTGCGGGGGTTGAGCTTTGGCTCTTTGGTCCCGCCTCTCAACTGTCAATCAACTGGTGTACAGATTCCTGAGCCTACTGGGCTCTATCATATCTACATTTAAAACTGTGTATGGAGTCTGCCTCCACCACATCACTTTCTAGTGCATTCCATCCGTTAACTACTCTGACACTGAAAAAGTTCCTTCTAACGTCTCTGTGGCCCATGTGGGTACTCAGTTTCCACCTGTGTCCCCTTGTTCGCGTCCCACCAGTGTTGAATAGTTTATCCTTGTTTACCCGGTCGATTCCTCTGAGGATTTTGTAGGTTGTGATCATGTCTCCCCTTACTCTTCTGTCTTCCAGTGTCGCAAGGTGCATTTCCCGCAGCCTTTCCTCGTAACTCATGCCTCTTAGTTCTGGGACTAGTCTAGTGGCATACCTTTGGACTTTTTCCAGCTTCGTCTTGTGCTTGACAAGGTACGGGCTCCATGCTGGGGCCGCATACTCCAGGATTGGTCTTACATATGTGGTGTACAAGATTCTGAATGATTCCTTACACAGGTTCCTGAACGCTGTTCTGATGTTAGCCAGCCTCGCATATGCCGCAGACGTTATTCTTTTTATGTGGGCTTCAGGAGACAGGTTTGGTGTGATATCAACTCCTAGATCTTTCTCTCTGTTCGTTTCATTAAGTACTTCATCTCCTATTCTGTATCCTGTGTTTGGCCTCCTATTTCCACTGCCTAGTTTCATTACTTTGCATTTACTCGGGTTGAACTTCAACAGCCATTTGTTGGACCATTCATTCAGTCTGTCTGGGTCATCTTGTAGCCTCCTACTATCGTCCTCAGTTTCAATCCTCCTCATAATTTTTGCATCATCGGCAAACATTGAGAGAAACTATTCTATACCCTCTGGAAGATCATTTACATATATCAGAAACAGTATAGGTCCAACGACTGACCCCTGCGGTACTCCACTCGTAACGTCTCGCCAATCTGAGACCTCACCCCTCACACTGACTCGTTGTCTCCTGTTACTTAGGTACTCCTAAGTAACGGCCGACCGGCCGACCGTCCAGCGTGCTGTCCGCTCGGCCGACCGGCTCCTAGGGAGCCGGTCGGCCGAGCGGACAGCACGCTGGACTTGTGATCCTGTGGTCCTGGGTTCGATCCCAGGCGCCGGCGAGAAACAATGGGCAATGTTTCTTTCACCCTATGCCCCTGTTACCTAGCAGTAAAATAGGTACCTGGGTGTTAGTCAGCTGTCACGGGCTGCTTCCTGGGGGTGGAGGCCTGGTCGAGGACCGGGCCGCGGGGACACTAAAAAAGCCCCGAAATCATCTCAAGATAACCTCAAGATAACCTCCTGTATCCAACGGAGTACCTTCCCTTTCACTCCAGCCTGCATCTCCAGTTTTTTCACTAGCCTCTTGTGTGGCACTGTATCAAAGGCTTTCTGACAATCCAAAAATATGCAGTCTTCCCACCCTTCTCTTTCTTGCCTTATTTTTGTTGCCTGGTCGTAGAATTCAAGTAACCCTGTGAGGCATGACCTGCCATCCCTGAATCCATGTTGATGCTGTGTTACAAAGTTCTTTCGCTCCAGGTGCTCCACTAGCTTTCTTCGCACAATCTTCTCCATCATCTTGCATGGTATGCAGGTTAGGGACACTGGCCTGTAATTCAGTGCCTCCTGTCTATCCCCTTTCTTGTATATCGGGACTACGTTAGCTGCTTTCCAAATTTCTGGCAGTTCCCCTGTTGCCAGTGATTTGTTATACACCATGGAGAGCGGGAGGCACAGTTCTTCTGCTCCTTCCTTTAGTATCCAAGGGGAGATTCCATCTGGGCCTATAGCCTTTGTCACATCCAATTCTTGTAAACACTTCCTTACTTCCCCGCTGGTAATCTCAAACTCTTCCAGTGGTTCCTGGTTAGCTATTCCCTCTCTTATCTCTGGGATTTCTCCTTCCTCTAAGGTGAAGACCTCTTGGAATTTCTTATTCAATTCCTCACACACTTCCTTGTCGTTTGTAGTGAATCCTTCTGCCCCTATCCTTAATTTCATAACCTGTTCCTTTACTGTTGTTTTTCTCCTAATGTGGCTATGCAGCAATTTAGGCTGAGTCTTTGCCTTGCTTGCGATGTCATTTTCGTATTGTCTTTCTGCCTCTCTTCTCATCCTGACATATTCATTCCTGGCATTCTGGTATCTTTCTCTGCTCTCCAGTGTCATGTTATTCCTATAGTTTCTCCATGCCCTTTTACTTTGCTGCTTAGCTAGCCTACATCTCTGATTAAACCATGGGTTTCTCATCTTCATTTCACTGTTTTCCTTTTGGACTGGGACAAACTTGTTTGCTGCGTCCTTGCATTTTTGCGTGATGTATTCCATCATATCTTGGGCCGTCTTTTCCCTGAGCTCTGTTTCCCATGCTATATCTGTTAGGAATTTTCTTATCTCCTCATAGTTTCCCTTTCGGTATGCTAACCTTTTGGTTTCGGTATCCCTCCTCGAGTTCAATAACCCTTCTTCAATCAGGTACTCAAACACCAATACACTGTGATCGCTCATTCCTACTGGGGCCTCAAAACTGATTTCTCTTATGTCAGAGTCGTTCAGGGTGAAGACCAGGTCGAGTCTCGCTGGTTCGTCATTTCCTCTCATCCTTGTGGGTTCTCTGACATGCTGGGTTAAGAAGTTTCTAGTCGCCAACTCCAGTAGTTTGGCTCTCCACGTATCC